TATTTAAACCTGGCAAGATTTCTTTAATAAAATTTTAAGTATTTTTATTGGCAAAATTATATACAAAGTACTTCGAAAAACAAAAACCTTTACAAAATATAACTAAAAATGATCTGTTTGTTCTTATAAATATAACTAAAAAAATTTACAAAATGATCTATTTGTTCTCATAAAAAAGACATAATTCACTGTTTAATAAATAAAAAAATCTATTTGTTCTTACAAATCTCTTTTATTACAATTATCAAAATAAAGATTATATGCTAGAAAAAATAAAACAAACTATACTATCTTCTAAATTATATATGACAAAATTTAATAATGAAATAACAAATACTCTGTTTTAATTTAAATTATGAACAGCTACTTGGTAATGGTAATTGTTATTATAATGATATAATGGCAATTGTTGTAATAATTACAACAGCAATTGTCTGTAGTGATACAAATCCGATATGCATCATTAAAATATCCACAAAATCTGATAGGGGAATGGTTTGACCCATAAAATACAGTAAGTTACATTTGTGATCGAGAATGGTATTTTGGATCCTTAAATAAATAAAACATCACTGGAAAAATTAAATAAGTAATTGTAAATAACATTTAGTAGCCTTAAAGTAATAATAAGTGCAAAGTCACATTTGTAAGCGACGAATTTAGTATTATAAATAAAGGCTGAAATGGCCCTAAGGGACGACATGTCTCGTTTGCTTTATTAATAAACAAGTCCCAATAAATTGTATCGTCCATAATAAAACCCTAACACTAATACCGTAACCGAAAGCCTTAATCGCCACCAGCCAAATCTAACACCCTCTTTCGAAAAGGTTACGTATCGTACGTTACGCGAGATATTGGATTGTGGAACGACTGAGTCACAATCACCCAAACCCAACAACACATAATTTCCAAAACGAATAACGAATTGCTGTTTTTATTTCTATTCATTGATAAATGTTCTTACAATACGGTTCGTTCATTGAATACAAAAGTGATGCTAAGACATTAGTTGAACTTATAAGAAATCAGGGATCATTGAAGTGTCTCGAAAGTTCAGAGTATTATGTGAATAATCGCTAATTTTGCACTGTTCACTAAGTCGAGTTGGTTTGAACTAAATTAATCAAAACGTGATTTCTTCATTGATATAATGCGTTAGTTAACTTAAAGTCGAGATTCAAAATTGTTACCAATTATAAAGAAACTTTTATTTATATTTTTGATAAAAAAAATAACACACAACGAAAAGGACGGTGGCTCCGGCTGTACTAGAAAGGCCAGCAACCAATCTAACATCAGGTGTATTATTGATTAAAGTAGAATTAGTTGAAGATATTGAGGTTGAAGGTATCGTGCTTGAAGATATCGTGCTTGAAGGTGTCTCGTTTGAAGGGTTCACATTTGAAGGTGTTGAGTTTGAAGCATTTTGAGAAGTTGATGTAACCCATAAAAAACTTTTTGCATCAAGTATATAAACATTGACATTAAGATTATTCTTTCCATCAAATTTTCCTCTTGAAAATTCAGCTCCTGTATTATATATAAAAATATATAAATAAGCATGAAGATTTTTTATAACGACATGATTTCAATATATAATTACCAAATGTTATTATCATATAATCACCAACTAGCGCAGCTGTGTGATAGGCAAGCGGTGGTGGAATATTTTCACCATTATTTGGTTTACTATACCATTTGTAAATCTTTGGCTTTGTATCCAACACGGCTAATAATGGTTTTGGAACCTCAGAATTATTATTGGAAGCGCCACCATAGATAATTATTAATCCATCTGATGCTAATCATATGTACGGTATGTATTTAAAGTTTAGTAAACCAATATCTAGAATTCAAATTTTAATTTAAGGTTAAAAAAAAAATACGTTCACTCACTTAACACAGCTGTATGAAATCTACGAGCTTGAATCGTTACATTATCATTATCTGCGATCTAAAAAATAGGCATAAATGTTATATTAGATATTTTGACAAGTAAGATATCACACAGTCTTATTATACCATAGAAGTCCAAGTCCCAGCATTTGTATCAAATATTGAAATCTAAAATAATAGTGAATGTTAAAAAAAAAAAAAAGCTCGATGTGTATACCATGTATATGTGTATATAAATAATTACGTCATTCATATCAATTTCATTAGATTTATAGACATCATTTGTTCCTCCGATATAGACAATAATTGAGCTTTGTAAAATTGTCGCAGTATAATCCGACCGAACAGTCGGTTGAATTATGGATAAAGATGCCAGATACTGATTCCAAGATAAATTTAAAGAGTCTAAGACATACATATCATTATGGGATCTCTTGAAGTGTCTGTGTGGATTATGTCCACCAAAAATGTACATTTTACCATTAGGATCACATGCAGCATTAATTCCTTGTCTGACTGGAGGTATCTGATCAGGATTTTTTATTGTTGGTATATCCCATTTTTGATTTATTGTATCAAAATTATATGTTATTGTATACTTTAATTTATCGTCATTTTTTTTATGATGCTCAAATAAAAAAATTGTTTTATTATTTTGACCTCCAACACATGATGTTGCAAACGCACTATTAACAGGAATAAGTGAATTTGTCGTTAAATCAGTCCATAAAAGTTTTTTAGAGTCGAAAGGTAAAGAAACATCCAAATAGAATATTTCATCAGAACCTATTCCACCTAGAAAGTAGAGTTGTGTTCCAATAAGAACACTACTATGAAAGCAACGACCAAGAGGTACAAATCCTGTTGTTGCAACAATAAACAAATTGAAAAATATTGCTGTTGACAAGAAAAGATACTTTGGAAGAGAACTCATGTTTACTCTTATGATATGATGTTAGCATTTGATGATTATTTTATAGAAATAGGAAACTTACGAATTAAGTTTATCCCATCCTAAGTGTCATTTCGTTATATGTCACATTACACCGCTAAAGTATTATGATTAAAAATTAGGTTGGTGGTATCGTGTGAAATATAAGAGTGCGATGTTTATATATGTAACCTACTTATTATGATTATGATCGGCTGAAGTGTCGGAAAAATGCCTTATTTTAGTATATACTAGCTAATGCTAATTTAAAAACAAACAAATTCTAGGACAACTAGGGATGTAAAAAGTCCGATCCGGTCCCGACTCGACTCCAGAATGTCTAGTTTTTAATTTTATTGCTATTATCATAATTTCTGGAGCACCTGATAAAAATTAGCCGAATGACTTGTTGGTCGATTCGTTATTTTTTTATCTACGTATTTTATATATACAGTATTATATCATAGGTTTTGTACTTATTTCTGTAAACTGATTCTTATAACTGCTATTGTTACTTTCTGTGCTGATTATCTTTCCGAAAGCACTACTGGTTTGGCTGAAATTTTTGAATCTTTCTACATCATTTGTTGGATTATCTTAATTCCAAACATTGGTAATGCATTTGACTAGTATGTATTTTTAGTAATATAAATTTTTTTTTCTAGCTTATCAATTGTGTATTTTATGTTTCAAATTTAAATGCTTCAAAAAACGAAATGGATGACTGTCTCAGTAGGTTATATATTCTATTAATTAAAGACATTACACATACTCTGGTAATAATAGGTAAATAATTAATCAACCATTAACTTTATCATTTGGGATGTTTAAAACTGTAATTTTGTTCATGTTGGTTCTACTTATAGGCAATTTAATTGTGGTAATTACCATCACAGATCTAATAAAATCAGATTAAAATGAAGCCTGGGTCTTCTTTTAATCTTTAAAACTATCCTATACTTTTCTATCAACATCCTTATTCTAACTTCTAAACAAAACCTCTAAAAAAGTTTGCTATTTTGTGTAATTTTCAAAATGAAAGTGCAAATTCCATTTTAATCTGGTTTCGTTTTATCCATCACATTTACTGCTTTTTTGTGGATCTTTTTTATTTTCATTACTGATTTTTTTAAATAAATTTCAAGTATGGAGTATCATACTAGTTAGAAGGTGTAACATTATTGGTAAATATTTTTCTTTGTATGCTTAATAAATTCTTTTATTTATATGCTTTATTTATAAAATTTAATATAGGTTGTTTATGCAATTATCGGAGATGCTTTATTCTTTTATTCAGATTAGAAATTAAGTAATTTGACGGCATGCTGGTTTATTAGTTTATGCAAGTAGAAAATATATTGCGTGTATCTTGTCATGTGCCATTGTGATTTTCTTTCTTTTTTCTTAATGCTATGAACAAGTTGTTCTTAATTATTTTTATGGTATTTAATTTGTCTTTAATCAAGGAAAACAGTGGAATATAATTATGAGTATTCTGTCCTTTTGTTTTCATGAATATATATCATAATGTAGATTTGAAAGCACTGAATGACTGGTATTCTTTTTAAATTGCAAGCTACTTATCAAATAACTGTTATCCTAACAGGTCATTTTGAAAGCGGGCAAAAAAAACCAGATGATCCTATCTGAAAGACCTTGCTCATTTTTAAAATAACTATTCCTTAGTTGTTGCACACATTTCCGAAATGCTGACTTCATAATTCCCAATATCCTTTTTTCCCAACAAGACTCATTCATTTCACCAACTATTAATAATTTATCACCGACAATCATTTAATTGACATAGTAATAATTAGAGTTAATGTTGACGCAATTTTTAAAAAAGCTTGTCAGTGAAATGAGCTGTCGGTTTGGTGAAATAATTGTAAAATAAACTTGCCAGTGAATTAATTAATTTTTGGTGGAATGACAAAGACCCATTTCAGTCTTGTTAGTAAAATGGATTGAGAGTATTATGACTTCGGTGAAATAGTATTTCAGAAAAATAAACATTGGGAAGTTAACCTGTAAACCCTATTTCTTGTTCTTTAAAAAATGCTTTATGAAATTGTCTTCCTGTAATTCATTGGTTTCAAATTTTTGGAAATGCCTTTCTTAAATCCTGGTTTTATCAAAAATTCTTTGAATTTTAATGGAAATTATTGTGAATCAAATAATAAATGCCATTTACTATTATATAGGTTTATATAACGAGACTTAACAAAATCATGTGTATTAGAATCCATAAGTTCACTTATAAAATAACAAAATAATATATTAATTCATTTAAAGAATTAACCAAATCATTAAAAATTGAACCAAATAAGCTCATGCATTGACAAACCATAAAAACCCTATTTTTCAATGAAACTATATAAAATTCTATTGCAAATTTAGAAAAAATCATTGGAAATTAACCCACATAATATAGCAACATTTCATGTTTATGTAATAACCAATAGCAAGATGGGTTATTCTGAAGATTCAGCTAAAGCCTTAATAAAATCATTAGAAATTAAACCAAGTTATAAATTTTCAATGCAACTATTGAATAATAGTATAAATTAGGCTTAATATCAAAATGTTAATAAATTATGTTATTTGGCTATGAACTATTTCGCTCACTAGAGAATTCCTCAAACTTCTTAAATTGATTTTTATTAACCAAACTCAACAATTTCCTATCAAAATCAATGAAATTTCTATTTGGAAGGCAATTCTTTATTGTAGTCCATTAAATTTCTAATTGGAGATAGAGTTGGGAATGCTTTCTCATCATAATTTCTATGAACTTGTATAAACGGTTGGGAGCGCATGATTACAGTATTTTTTGGTTATCTATATGCAATTTTTTTGATGATTTTAGAATCTTAACATGCCAACTAGATTTCTTGCCTTTTGGATTATATTTATAATTAGGATACACCATATTATGACCTTTTTCGTGCAATTGGCTAATAATCGTAAAAATTGGTAACCTCATTACTTTACTAATTTTCAGCGTTTTATTGAAATAAATTTAAACTTGTTTGTTGCATTATTCCTCCTTTTCCTTTCTTTTATTAAAAATTCTTTCTGTATAACACAACTATTTTGAGATCTCGATGCTTGCTTTTCTCTTCGTTTATTACTTGGTACAACAAGTTGATGAAAAGATAAGACAAATGATTCATTGATTTTTTTCAAATGTTTTCTGATCAATACTTTGGTTGATGATGTGGTTTATAGTTTCTTAGTTCAATTTTTTTTATTTGCAGAATAAAGTTTAGATTATTAAATCATTCATTTTTTAATCTAATAATATATTACTAAAATGGACAGGACTAAACAGTGTCTAATATCTCGAAATTTTACTATACTAACCCCGTCGTGTAACTAATAAAAATGTTCTTTACGCAATTTTACCATATAGCACATTGCCTTTTGTAGTATACTATATTATTCGATTGAATTTATAATAGAAAAAAGCAATTGGATAAAATATAGTATAGGTGACCTTAATAATAATCAGGTATAATTATACTATATTTTATCTAACAATTCATTTATAACTACCTATTATAATTAATCTCAATACATTACAATGCTTTTGAAGTATTTGTAATTTTTGCTCGTTTTGAAGTATTTGATATATTATTACCTGTATATTAAAATAAATATCAGCCTTTATGATAATCATTGCAAATTATTATATAAAAAGAATTTACCAATTGAAAGCGATTGTTCAAATGCTCTTGTTACATAGTCAGAATCTTTTTATGCATAAATGATTATTAAGCATATAAACCAAATTTATCATATCCATTCATTTATTTTTAAAAGTTACCTTCACTGTTTTCATCGGTAATAATTTTTAATTGTTGTAGTTGACCTATAGTTCTTCCTATTCCTTTAATGAAATCTAAATACATAACATCAATAAAACAGTAAGAAACACTTTGACTTCTGTAAAATTAAATTATTACAAATAATTAAATTTTCTTACCTGACTCTGATATAGCAAAGTTTCCATATCCACTATACTCTATAACTAAATAATTTAAGTGATAAGCTTTGGATATTGTTTCATAAGCATGCAAGATAATTACCTTTATCGTTCAGTGGTTTTGGTAACAATCTACTTGTATAAACAGCTTTAGGATGAGACTTAATAATCCTACGTTCTCTAGCATTACCTTTATTTTGCGGTAAATTAATTGCATACTCATCACTTTCCAAACATTCCCAATACCTTTTATTTAACAACAATCTGATTTCTAAAATGTCTGGTCGATTCTTAGGCTCATTATCCCAACATTTTTCCATCAAATCAATATACCATTCCGGTGTTTCCTTAATATCTATAGTTGGTCTTTTTCCCAGGCATATGTTCATGACTAAATGAGCATCATGTGGTATATCATAAAATGGAAGTTTTCCAATTAAGACTTCCCACATAATAATTCCGAAACTATAAATATCTGAAGATTTGGTATAAAATTGGTCTCTACGTAAAAGCTCTGGTGCTATGTAAGGTAACACACCATACATTTCTTCGCTTTTTGAAGATTTATCTATTGGCCTACATAATCCTAGATCAGTCACAAAAGTTCGCATGGTGCCATCTTTAAGTGTGTGCAGCAATAAATTTCCACTGTGAAGATCTCGATGTATTAAGTTTGTAGAATGAATTACTTCTAAACCTAATGCAATATCCCTTAAAATTCTTAATTTTTGACCCCAACTTAATAAATGGTAATTGTATTTAAAATAATGACGTAGATCTCCACCGTTGGCGTACTCCATTACCATCATGTAATTGTTTGATTCGTTGTGCTGAGTTATTCCATAGCAATGAAGTACTCGACCATTGCGACATCGATAATACATCTTTAACTACAAAAACATTGAGATATTGTAATTTATTTATTTAATAATATATAATATATATATAATACGTATAAAATTAATTAATGAATAAATATGACACAATGATAGTAAAGATTAAATACTTCATCTAAAAAATCAGCAGTAATATTTTTAGAGTTATGTAAACATTTCAAAGCTACTGGTGTTTTGGCTAAGAGTCACGATATACTACAATATAAGTGCGTTGTTTTAATACAATAGCTTTTCAATGAATTTATTTAGATCATACCTTCTTTTCTCCATTTACAATTTTCTTCTTCATAAATTAGAACTTTATCTGGTCCATAAACCCAAACTCCATAATAAACTTCACCATATCCACCTTTTGCCAGATATTCTACGTCTTCAAACTCATTATAATTAATCCAAACCAAATAATCACATTTATTTGTAGCATTAAGTTGAGTATCTCTTATTATTTTGTCTAAATATGAATTTCCGCTTGTCCATTTATCAAAATTCATTGAAAATTTTTTTGATTCACAAAAATTACACCATCGATCGTTTGTTCGGGGTCGTGAACATTCTGGGCATAAGTAATCTACATCGAATTCTTCTTCACTATCGTCATAATCATTATCACTAAATTCATCTATGAACTTTACAGAAGAATATGAAATTGTTGAAGATTGGGTTAAATTTGAAGGTAATGCATTTGATTTCTCTGATGACGATGACGTTACGGATGGAGTTGAATTCATGTCTAATTAATATTTCAGTTTTTTTACGCATTGAGCATTTATTATATCGATATCTGATATGTACTGTATGTATGTACGTACATACGTACAGTACACAACTATTTTGTGTACATACCCTAAATTAGAATGTGACAAAACCTAATTATGGCCAAGAAAATTCAGAACTGAATTAGCGTTAGATGTTGAACTATTTCAGTATTTAAGGATTTAGTTAGAACCACTAAAGATGAAATCCGCCATATATTAATTATAGGATTTATAAAAAAAAACTTTTTCTCAAAATTTTAAAATTAGACTTTAGAACTTAGGTTAAAGTCGGAGGGTATGGTTTTCTAAATGCTAACCATTTTACTTAATACAGAAAACGCCAATTACTAAAGCCGTTTTTGTGAAATAATATCAGTAAATTTCATGGCCGATTAGCATTAAAAATCGTCCTCAAAATTCTAGTTTATGCAGCACGAACGGGAATACAATAAACATGCACAAACATTTCTGTTGCAATACATAACAGTACATAGGTTAATCGGAGTGTAAATACCATGATATCCTTTTAAATGAATGGAATAATCTAATTGTAATGCATGATATGCATGTATAGGCCGAAGACTGCCTCATAGCATATATATCTATTGGACAATTTCATGGGATTAGCACGTCAATTGAATGCGGTACTGTAGATAAACGGAGACTTCAAAAGATTTCGAAAGTTAAATCAATATACTGTATATATATATAATAAAATTAGGATAATTTACAAATAAAGTGAAAAGTGGTCATATTAGTAAATTTTGCATTTTTTATGATTTATTAAATCTCAATCCCATTTTTCGTAGCACTTACCAAATATTCGGAAATACAAAGTATTGAGTTTACCTGAGAACCTGTTACCGCATCGTCGCGAACATAATCTGTTTTAAGTCGATGAAAAAAAATAATTGCTTCTTTTTTTTTTTCTTTTTTTTTACCAGCCCTACAATGTAGTTTCGACAAATATTAATAATTTTCTTTTTTTGTTTGGAATTATAGCTGTGTTATATTTTTTTTAATCCAGTCAATAAATTCTTGTTCATATCTTTATTAGCTCCTTCTTGCGTAATGTATTTATTATGAAAGCTTATACTTGGAATCTTTTTTTATGTCTTTTGTTAAAAGAGCTATTGGTTAAATAACCTTAATTTTGAATATAATATCGTTCAGAATACTATCGCTGTGATATATGTTATATATATAAAACTAATCACGTCTCAAATCAAAGTTTATCACTGCCGAATTAAAAACATCTCGAATCGCCAAATAAAATTTATGAGAACAGCTGTAATAGTAAAGTATAAAAAAATCCTCGGCAAAATTAATTATTAGTTCGTTTTAAAATTCTTGGCTCGAAATAGACGATATAGTATGCGTGCGTACAATCGTCAAAAGGGCACGAACATAGCCTAACCGCCAAGATCAGTTACACACTGAGCTTCAAATAATAAGATTGATATGAGGATATTTGTAATTTATTTTGTTACTTGTTTTTAATTATTAATCTAAAAAAAAACAAAAGAACCAATTGTTTTTACATATCTAAGAAAATGGATGTTTATTATAAGATTTTATATTTATTAATTTATTAAAATTCTGATAGCTTAAATTCAACAAAATTAGAATTATTCTCTTAGTATTTCTGAATATAATATATAGCTGAACTGGGTGAGGCAGATACTAAAGAATCCGAAACAGTGTTAGAAATTTTAGAAATCTATAAAAAAAATTTTTCATGAGGTATAATATACAAATAATAAGATAGCTGCGCAACGTAGTGTTGGGTTCGGAAGATTGCGACTCTGTCGCTCCACAATTCAATATGTCGCGTAACGTACGATAAGTAACCTTTTCGAAAGAGGGTGTTAGATTTGGCTAGTGGGCGATTAAGGCTTTCGGTTACTTTGGGTCAACGAATACAAGTAGGGTAAGTCACGTGGTCAAGGGCTTGAACAACGACGTTATAGGGTTCACAGGGTTTGTAACGGTAATAGTGTTAGTGTTTATTATGTACAATGTAGTGTATTGGGATTTATTATTTTATAAAGCAAACGAAGCGTACTGCTCCTCAGGGCCATTTCGGCCTTTATTTATATTACTGAATTCGTCGCTTACAAATGCGACTTCGCACTTATTATTAGTTTAAGACTACCTAATTTTATTTACAATTACTTATTTAATTTTTCCAGTACTGTCTTATTTCTTTAAGGATGTGTAATTTTTCTTACATCCTCCCACGCTACCCCTCTGCATCCGAAATACCGTTCTCGATCACAAATGTAACTTATTACATTTCGTGTATTTTTCACGTGATCGATCACGATATTCCGGTTTCACAGTAGTCGCGCTAGAAACCGGCAAATATAGTAATTAACAATAGTCCAAGTAGCGTACAAACGAGAACTGATCTAACATCTCATTAATATATTGTGAATAGTGATGGGCAAATCGAGAATTTTTTGAATCCAGAATTATACTAGCTGGCCTGAATTTTAAAAATCACACTGCGCACTCTCTCAAAAATTCTGCGCAAGCTGCACAGTGAAATAATGCGCAGGCTGTGCAGTGTCCCATCCCTAATTACGAAGCATTTGATATACACTATAGGCAATTGACTCGCATTAGCTAATCAAACAAAAGTTTACAAGGTATCATATAATAAATTATCAGGTTATCCGAAAAATTATTTTACTATTATCATTTAATCAACACAAAAAATCCTATGAAAAAAAATGAAAAATGTTAAATATCAGGCTAATAGACAAATTAATCTGTATCGGGTTACCAATTTTTGAGTCTAAAATCCTTGCTTTTACTATCGTTAGTTATTGCAACTACGACATCGCTTACGTTTGCATTTTTTTTGTATTCAAATTATACTCTAATTATATATCCTAATCTATATGAGGGATGAATTTATGTGTGAAAAATAACCAAAATTTGATGAATAAATCATGCGGACCAATCAAACTTAAGATTTCACGGACAAATCCCACTTCAAACAGCATATACGTAATCAATACACTTGCTCATTACATACTTTATTTACATATTCTTAAAATGTCTTGATCTTTCGCAATAAAAATGATTACCGTTAAAGAATATTGATCCAAATTTCATAAAATAATAAATAATATAAAGAAACAAAGAGTCTTCCAAGAATATGAAATGGACGAAATAAACATACATTTTATTGCCTAAATAAATGATCGTGTTGAATGCACTAACACACTAAGTATTCTATAAATAATAATCAATATTAATTGGGTAGAAATTTAGTAACTTGGATTTCGCCTTTTTTTTGATAAAAAAATTTCTTTGGAATTTTTTTACTCTTTACTTGGTTGATTATGCGCTGGATATGAACTGTCAGAATTCTGTTAAAAATCGATTATGCTAGGGTCGTTCCAAGGAATATGCTCGGAGATCGATTCTACTATAGTATGAAGTTAGTTCCTAATATTATTTAAAAAATAAGTATTTTCTTTTTCTTGCTGTCTTGAACAGAAGAAAACCTTAAGATTCTTAATGACAAAAAAATGGAATCAAATAAGTCGGATAAAGAGAATTGTGATGCTGTTAAACAACTTTTCAATTCTGGTGAACATGAAAATTTCGACGAAGAGTATTAAAATCTTTCGCAAAAACATGTTCAAAACATATTGATTAAAATTTATTGATATTTCGAATGAAATAAGAGATTAAGTTTGTGTAATTCTTTATTTTTTTGAAGAAATTTGCAAATCGATTAATTTTAATACAGTATATCATTTCTCTTAGATAAAATATTTTCGGACTCAATAGTAACTTTTGTAGTTCTATTCATTATATAAATAAAAATTTAGCAAGTAATCTTGTGATAAAAGAACAAATATTCTTGAGACTTGGCCATTATTTAATAAAACATAACATTCAATAAATAAGTTATAATTTATTTCCATATAAAATTTCCTACATAATTATTCAATATGAGTAAATATCTGTTTCTATAGTATATGACTGTTTATCGAGAATGAATTTTATATTTAAAAAAAATGGTTACTTTTATCAATGAAATATTGAGGCCTTGCATTTGCTATAGAAACAATACAGTAGTTGTCAGAACTAATATTAAGACTACCAAGATTCTTGAGATCATTTTAAAATGCTTAAGAATTAATAAATTCAAAAGAAATTGCTTCTGAAACAAAAACAATATCAGATTTTCGTGCCCTCATTTTAAAAAATTTTTTTTGATATTTTACAAGGTAATAACAAATTGATATAAAATTTGGTATTAACTATGTAAACATATATATCCTTATCATATCCAGATATACTAGGATTTTATTTGTGGAGTGTATCTTACTATAGTCTATGCTTTATGATGTTTATTTTTTGTCATATTCTAAATTTAACGTTTTTTGAGATTTTTGGAATAGATAATTGTTTAAACTTACCTATGAATCGTATGAAACAGCTATACATAGGTGCCGAAACTCCCCTTCTTAATTTTTCATAGTTTATAGTTGCTAAAATTATTATCAAAATTATTGCCAAACTTATTAAGGTAATATTTGTGAATTCTATTAACGAGTTTATCGTTATGAATAAATTTTACTCACAAACTGGTACATAGTTTAGTACGTAAATGAAAGACAGAGAAGTAATTTTTAGAATTGGATATATTTGATTTTCACGCCTGCATATCGATATAAAATAATCTAAATATATAAATTTTCACTAATAAAGAGGTTTTAAATACTTTAAGGCCTTTAATATTTATCGCTATCGTTATCGTTATATAGAATAAGTATCATGACGATAAAATCGGTTTGTGTTACTATAATATGCATTATCATGTATACAAATAATTATTATCGTTATTTCAAGAGATTACGGAGGTAAATCGAGTTATTCTTATTAACGTTAACAGATTGGGTAAAATATATTTAAGTCTCAGGTAAAATTTCCGTACTATCAACAACTAG